TTCATGTCAACACTAACCGGAGTTTATGTTCCGCTTTTGACGGCTCCCATAATATAAATAATCAAATGTTCAAACACTGTGAAACAGTAGTTAATATACAAAGATTGTACTTTTAATTGTATTTTTTTACTGCCCCCTGTGGCCAACGACAGCACCTGGCTCTGATCTGATTTTTACTCAAACCAATCAAAATCCTTCTGTGCTGCATTTCTTCCTTTCTCATTACGTATGTATTCCAATTACCCCCACTGATAGAAGCAACAGATTGTCATTAGATGTTTCCTAGTGTGGTTCATGTGATTCTTTTGCAAAAAAAAACAAACAATACAGTTACTGAGTAATTGGGCCGGAAACACACTGGAAACATTTTCTATTTATTATTTATGAGCAACTGTTCAGGATTTTAGATCAAAGCTCATGAACAGGAACAGTACTATATAAGATTTTAGATGACTGAAAGCTCATGAACAGGAACAGTACTATACATCCTCTCTCTCGGCCTGTATTGTTGACCAGATATCAGGATGTTCAGTAAAATATTGACTTTTTATACAACTTAAATCTCCAAGGTTTTAATATTTAGTATTATTATGTAGATCAAACTCAGGCCCGGGGGCCAAATCTGGCCCGCAGTGTGATTATATTTGGCCTGCGAGATACTAGAGTTGGCCTGCAAGTATATAGCCCCTATATACTGGTAGGACTTGTTGTATTAGCAGTGTATGCGCTACGTTATAGCATTATACATTTTGCTTTTTTTTTGTTGTTGTTGGCCTGTAAAAAAAAAAGATTTCTACTAAAAAGTAACTGGAAACGCTACAAATCAAGAGATATAATAAGAAACAAATACACATTTTTCAATAACTATTAAGTTTGGCCCGAGACTTCGTCCCAGTTTTTAGTGAATTTCAGTTTGAGTCGAGGTGACAGAGCTCGTCTTCCTGAGGACACCAGTCTGGGAATGAGAACAGCTTGTCAGGAGCACTCTCCCTCTCCTTCTCCCTCTCCATCCAGCACATCATGCTCCTACAGTAAGTTCTGACGTGCCACTAAATAAACACCTTGTCAATGCCGTCTGCCCCCAAAATAGAGTGACTGCAGGTTTTGGTGGCGCTGCTGCCAAACCGTGCCTCGAAATTGAACGAGATGAAATTCGGTTTTGACACATACATATACATACACCTTTCAGGTGTAATTTTACTGGTCATCGCGACGAGGAAGACAGAAATCAAAAGGTGAACGGGAGCAGACAGTGTGTATTTGACACCTTGACTGTCCGACAGATTGGTGTCGTCCTTGGCAACGTAAAAGTGACATTGACTTGACTGCCTTGACGTCAGTGCCTCTCAGCACCTGACTGCTATTGGACAATCCTGCTGTCAATCACACCTGGAATCCATTCCATTCACGTTCACCCTACAAACTTTACTTCTCCCTCTGCACACATACAAAACAGACCATATATTCTGTAATAAAAGACCTCCAATAAGCACTGAAGATCATAGGATTATCACAAGCGATAACAGATGTCATAAATCCTAATATTCCATATACGGACATAAACATCAAGATACTTTTTCAAGCCTTTCCTATATTTTTTGAGCCAGCCATTCCCAGGTTTTATTTATCACCCAGGACTGAGTACTGCAGTATTTTAAAAAGCGCCATTAACCAAAACTTCCGCCCCGCTGACCAGTTATTCATTCAGACCAAGTCCATTTTTTTATATTTGTGCCACTGCCTGCAGCTTTTATGATCCAGCGCCGAGGGTCAGGGAGAGCGAGCCATCTAAAATCTCATTAATCATTAAAACCTAATCAGAGTGCCTGCCTCTGTCCACCTGGTAATTGAACTTGTCTGGTTAATGTTCAGCTGCATGTTTCCCACGACACACAGACGACTATAAATACTTTATACCGAGTCTGTGGTAAATAACAGAATTAACACGTCTTCCTAATGACCAGTGATTACATCAGGAAGACACTGTCTGTCAGCGACTAATGAGGAGAGGGAGGGTCGGGGGTTGCGGGGGTATGGGGAAGGGGGAGGGAGGGGTGCGACTGATGAGCTAATGAGCTAATTTGTAATGTCTCTGTAACCAGAGCAGCGCGCAAAAAACGATAAATGTAAACAACCAGCAGTAAAAACATACAGGAAGTTTTCTCCAAATTCAGTTAACAGCACTGTCTACGATGACAAAGTCACACTCTTACATAGTACGTCCTAAAGCAGTGGTTCTTAAACTGGGGTACACGCCTACTACTGGTGGTACTTCGGCTCCCTCTAGCTGTGTGTTGGGAAATCGCATTTAGTTTTTAAACTGCGTTGGGCGAAATATTGGAATTAGATAAATATGTGGCTATGTGTACATATGAGTGGCGCTTTGGTCCAGAGGCAATGTCTCTGTCATTGGTGTTGTTAGATTTCAGTGGTTTTCACATTTGGTTGGTTGGTCTGCAGCAGGAAGATGATATTTTTGATCTACATGACCACCTGTGGTTGACTGGACTTCATGGCTCCGTCCACTTCCCTTGTGATAACCCCCCCCCCCCCCCCCC